CGGTCGCGCCGCAAGGACGGTGCCTGCTCACCTCCTCCTGCCCTCGCTGTTCCTCGAGGGGCTTGTCCCGGGAGGGGGGGGCGCGCAAGTGCTTCAAAAGTTTCCCCGCGGCGATCCGAGCGTTTGGCTTCGTCGCCAGGACGTCGCCTTCCCCCTTTGTGCCGGGCAGGGGGCGGGGGGGTGAACTTGGGTGCTGCTCGGAGAAGCCAACGGCGCACCCCACCCCGCCCTTGCTTGGAGAGAAGAGCGGGCGCAGAACGGGTCTCGGCAGCGGCTCGAGAGTCCCACCGGTGGGAGACCCTCGGCCGAGAGTTGGAGGGAGCAAATCGGCCTGAATCCCGCCCTTCTTGGTGGGGGCTTGTTTTGGGTGCTGCCCGTCCAAATCGGGGGCTTTGGGGACGACCGGGTTGGGGAGCCCGACGGCGGCCGATCCGACGCGGGCGGTGCCTGGAGCGCCGCCCCGAAATTCCCCCTTCCCCTGCCTTTCTTCTCTCCGCAGACCGGCTCTATTTTGCGACTTTGCGGAACCGACCCAAGAGCACGGCGAACACCCACTACTTCTGCACGGACGAGGAGCTGGTCTATGAAAAGTAAGTGCGCTGCTGCTCCCCCCGCCTGCTCGGGGCCGTTTCCCGCGGCTGCGCCCTCCTACTCGGAGGGAGGCTCCGGCTTGCTTTCGGTTTCTCTCCTCCTCCCCGCCCCCCCGGAGCGCGTTGGGGGTTCCCCGCCGCCCGCGGGCCGCCTTTTGGAGAGCCCGTCGCCCAGCGCTTGCAGGAGGGAGCAGAGGCCGCCTGACGGAGGGTGGGGGAGCGGTCGGGGCCCGGGGCGCGGCTGGCAAGACGACAGAGCCGCCGCCGGGGACAACCGAGTGCCAGCCTGGCCTGGACGAGTTTGCTCGCTTCCTCCTCTCCTTCTGTTGTCGCTTGAAATAGACTCGGCTCCTTAGCGACTGGTGGCTTCTGACAAGCCTTGAGAGACAGCTCGATGGGAGAGCTGAGTGAGGGGCTAACGTGGTCCCGTTCATCTCTCCTGTTTTTTCTTCAACCCTACCATCATTGGCCCATGCTGCTGAATTAGCCTTCTGACAAGCCTTGAGAGACAGCTCGATGACATTCTAAGTCTGTCATCAGCTGAGTGAGGGGCTAACGTGGTCACGTTCATCTCTCCTGTTTTTTCTTCAATCCTACCATCATTGGCCCATGCTACTGAATTAGCCTGTTGTTTTTATTTTTCTGAAGAAATAAGGAAAAAATATCATGTCCCCTGAATATTCAGCAGTTCTTTGTAGTCTAGGATAGGTGCCACAAGGTTAGCAATTAACCTGTAGCAGTACAAGTGTACTTGAATGGATAATTTCAGATTTATAGGACATTGACCTCAGTGTAGTAAACTTGAACATGCAGTTGTTAGTGAAATCATGATTTCATTAAGCAGTTCTTACGGCTGTCAGTTTTGTCCTGATTAGTGGTCCTATCTAAAAACTTCATGGGATGAAACAAGAAATTCAGAAATCCATGGAGAACAAACAATAAGCAGGACTTCTAAAAAAACAAGCTTCCTTTCTCTCCCTCCCATTTCTTCTTTTTTGTTTTTTTCACACAGCTGCCCTTCCCAGGGACACTATAACAACAGCAAAGCCTTGGCATTAGATAGCCCTCTTAATATGCAAGATTTAGGGCAGATGAGGGGAGGGGAAAGGATTTGTAGTCAAGTTGTTGCTAATAATACATCTAGAATAATGTATCTCATGTAGCTGGGTTGCCAACAGTTTATTAATGGAAGGTAAATGTAATTTGCAAAAAAAAAAAAGGTGTCAGTGCTTGGAAGTCTGTCCTTCCAGTAGTATTCTTTCCCTAACCCTATTTGTACACTGAAGAGCAAAATCCATGAAATCAATTTAATTGCATAGATATCTTGCAAGAAGCAACCTCAATTTATTTCATTTGGCCATGTGCCACGTAAGCAGGTACAGGACTGTGTCGTTAGTCATGGCTAGCTTTCATGGATTACGATCAGCGAAAAAGATGTTTTCATGTTTTTGGGTAGTGTATAAATAGCTGTTGTGCAAAGTGTTCTACATACTGCAGTTCTTCTACTTGAATCTTCAAAATGTCCTTTCATGGATTACGATCAGCGAAAAAGATCTGTTTTCATGTTTTTGGGTGGTGTATAAATAGCTGTTGTGCAAAGTGTCCTACATACTGCAGTTCTTCTACATGAATCTTCAAAATGTGATCCATATTTGGTCCAGTTTGTTATCTATGCACTTCTTGCTTGCAGTGACTGTATGAATTAACAATACTGGAAGTAATAGTAATGTGCCACCAAGTCAATTCCAATTTATAGTTGAGTATTCAGAAATGATTTATTCTCTCTTTTTTTTGCCAAGGCTATACAGGCTGACCTTTCTCCTGGGGGTACACAGTAGGAAATTGAACTCCCAATCTCTCTCTCTGTAATCAGGCATTTGACTTAGTCAGCCAGCCAGACCTGTATAAATTACTGACCTCCAAAACGTCTGTCACTAAGAACTCCAGTCGGGTCATACAGACGAAAGGCTCCTTTATTAAGTCCTCAATCAGTTTCCCTCCTTTCCTGCTGCTTTCAACTATTCCAAGTTGATTGTTTTTTCCCCCCAATGAGCCTTGTCTCATAATCTGACCAAGTACTAGTTTAGTAATTTTTGCTTCTAGAGAGACTTCAGGCTGGATTTGATGTAATATCCATTTTTGACTTTCTGGTGACCCATGATCTCTGTAAATATCCTTTCCTACCCCATATTTAAAATACAGTCAGATTTCTTACCATTAAGTTTTCATATCTATACTGGTACATAGTAATCTGGGATACCAGAGTATGGGTGGTCTTTCTTGGCCTTCAGCAACACATTTTTGCACTTAAGGACCTTTTCTGGCTCCTTCACAGCTGACATTCTAAGTCTGTCATCTTTTGGTTTCTTGGCTTTGGTCTCCATTTAGATGATTGAATGAAGCAAATCATTAGATGTGTTAACTTCTTCATTGTCTACCATTAGTTAGGTAATTTTGCAGTAGACATGCTAATGCTTAACTGCCATACTGTTTTTGTGCTTTCTTCTTTAACCTTTTTTGGTGGCCATTTTGAGTCATTGCTGCTTTCTGCTTGTCATATGGTGTCATCTAAGGTTGCTAATATTTCTTCCAACTGTTTTTGCATCCATTTCACCTGATTCTAATCCAGTTTACTTTCAAAATGATTACAGTATTATAGTTCATAAGGAGTTTTTACTGAGAAAGGTGATAACATCCTTTAGTAATTTAATGGCTTCATTTTCTGTGTTGTTGAGTTACAAATGACATCTCATGTCTGTTCATGAAACTCGTGAGGATTTGAAAACTGTTCAATGACAGTTAGGTCTCTTATGGCAGATGTAATGAAATGAAGTGGGTTGCTAAGATGATTTCATTTGCTAGGCAAAATAGATATGTATTCAGAAAGGATCTCAGTATGATGAGGACAAAGAACAGTACTGTATGTTGAAGGAAAGAATGGGGAAAAGAGAAATGTGTTGAGAAGAGAAAAAGTAATATGGTTCTGGAACAAGCATGAACCATGGACTATTGTCCAAGGTGTCCACGTGGGTAGAATTAATGCTTGGAATATTTGACAAGTGTAACAAACAGTGACTGGAATCCAGTAGTAAATCACAACTAGCGTAGTCCAATTGAATAAGTGGGGAATTTGGTTGTTGAGTTACAAATGACATCTCATGTCTGTTCATGAAACTCGTGAGGATTTGAAAACTGTTCAATGACAGTTAGGTCTCTTATGGCAGATGTAATCAAATGAAGTGGGTTGCTAAGATGATTTCATTTGCCAGGCAAAATAGATATGTATTCATAAAGGACATCAGTATGATGAGGACAAAGAACAGTATGTTGAAGGAAAGAATGGGGAAAAGAGAAATGTGTTGAGAAGAGAAAAAGTAATATGGTTCTGGAACAAGCATGAACCATGGGCTATTGTCCAAGGTGTCCACGTGGGTAGAATTAATGCTTGGAATATTTGACAAGTGTAACAAACAGTGACTGGAATCCAGTAGTAAATCACAACTAGGTAGTCCAATTGAATAAGTGGGGGATTTGGTCAGTCAGCTGCATTGATTCAGTGAGCCTATCTGTTTGTATTGTAACTACTCAATTTCAGCAGTGATTTTAAGGATGGCCAGATGCTTAAAAGCAGGGATCTTCAAACCTTTCACACAGAAAGCCACATAATATATTTACGATATTTTCGAGGGCTGAAGGAATACTGCCCTCTCACCCACCTGTATACATGTACAAAATACTCTTTAAAAAAACTCATTTCATAAACACTAACATAATGAACAAAAGTATTACTGTACAGCAAAATAAGTGTTTTGAAAATACAATATTTTGGAAGTGATGGTCTCTTGGAACTGCACAGTCAAATATTGTAAGCAGAAATGTAAAACCCCTTCAGCTTACCAAAAGTGTGCCTTCAAAAAGGACACTTCAGCAGAAAAACTGATCAACTGGAACATTATCCAGATGGAATGAAATGGGGGTAGTAACACTCCTCACTGCTCAAAAGTCTGTTTCTGAGATTTGGGGGACCCTCAGGAACAGCTACTGAAGGCTACAGAGGGAGTTGAATTCTTGCAAAGTTGCCTCCCTCCATCCTTCTGTTTAGGGGTCCTCCCACTGAAATGGGAAACTTTGGAAGCAAGCTTGCATTAACATCATCAATGCCTTTACTTTTTCTTAAAATCAAAGCAGTGAAGGGAAGTGTGTATTTTACTGAGTCTCACATCTAAAAAGGTTTGCAAGTATTCCAATAAAAATAATAACCAAGTTAAACTTTGAATCTGAATGTAGTGCATTTTAACACATTCACTCTTATATACATACATCTGAGCTTACTTACAAACTGGTAGAGGATGTTTCAAAGTTAGCAAAATCAGTGAATAAAACATCTCAATATTATGGACATTAAGAGTTGATTACAAGGACAGGTCAGTATAGAAATACATTTCAGGGCTGTAACGGTGGAAGATTTCATGCCTGATTGGAATATCCAAAGACCTATCCCATGGCAATGTCAGCCTCTGGCCATGGCATCTTCGTGATTGGGGAGGAGGTAGCCTCTTGTGGTCCAAGAGTCCTCCATGTAGTTTCTTCACAATAATTCCTGGCTTGGCTACCTGAGAAATGGGGTAGTTAATTTATATCATGCAAAATTAAAAGGAGAATTTCAGAGTGCAAGGTTATATACAAAGTAAAAGGAACCAGAGGTCAATGCATGAGATGCTAAAACAGAGTGTGCAGGTGTATTTCTAGTTTGCCTAAAGGCAGTTTGTAAAAAGCCCGGTGGCAGGGCAGGAAACTGAGTGGTGTCCAGTCCCATCCAAGGGAGGGCATTTACAGTAGTGTGTTTCTTCAAGAGCTAGCACCGGAGCCCCCTAGTCCTAACTGACTCAAGAACTTCCTGGAGAGGCCACCTACCAAGGTGATCTCAGTGAGGTTCTCTGTGTCACAGGGTTGCTCCCAACATTCCCATGTTAAGACAGCATACTATTACGAGAAGCAGT